CTAACCCACAGGTCTGTGTCCTAACCATTAAGTTATCAGAGTAAATTCCTGTTCAACATGAGTCTGACAACTAAGTAAGTAGATAAATAACTTTAAACTTTAACACATGATCTGATAGGCCGGGATTGGGATCAGAAGTGAAAAAAGCTGGATGGGGACATCTCTACCTCAAACTGCTGCATTTTAAAGGTGAGACGCTGTATTCTCACCTGCCTTCCACTGAAGTGATCAGAGAGGTTTTTAACGTGCACAAAACTTTCCAAAACTCCACACAAAGTCCAACTAACCCCCCCAACAACTACCAACAGAATAAATCAGAATAAACCTTTATCAATAATAAGAGGAACTCCTCCCTTCTTACTCGTGTTCGGGTTTATCTGCATATATGAGAGGAGAGAGCATCATTAAGAGGATAATTAGGAGGATATCCTGATCATTTTCTGACACCTGAAGCCTCACCACCCCTTTCCAATATTTCCCACAAGGAAAACTGTTATGCATGAATGACAGGACGCTGCAGAGACATTTGTCAGAGTTTGTGTCAGAAATGTACTAAATGTTTTTTTTTTCTCGTGAATAGTAACTGAATACAGCACCGGCGAAAAACAACCTGGTGTTGTACGTGGTGATTTACATCCAATTCAAATGCAATTCACACAAATAAAAGCATATCAAAGCCCCCAAACAGTTTGCCAACAGCTCTGTTACACGTGTGTAAACAGTAAGAAGCAGAACTGTCCAATCAAACAGGAACTTCAGTAAGTTTTTAGCCGATAGAGAGCCTGAACACTCAAGCTTTTAGCTCCACACTCGGGTGTTGGAAATCCTGTGAATGAAAAACAAGCCGGCCCTCTGAGAGCTGCAGGCTCCTGCAGGTTGGTCAGCTTTGAATGGCTTTTCCTGCCTGTATAGGCGGTTATATTACAGTTAGAGCTGGTTGTGTGTGTGTGTATGCAGAGCGGCGACTTCTTACCTGTCTGTGGGGTGAGACACAGATCTTCTGTGCTTTCTACTTCCAGGATGAAGAAATTAGGATCCCGTCCACATAGTCTGAGGATGCGAAAAAGGGGAAACGGATGGTAACTTTTTCTGCTGTGCCTGACATTTTAAAAAAAGCAGGATATAGGTTTGTCTGTGCTGTGATTATTAGTGCATTCTTATTTATCCGTGCACAGAAAGGCAACGATGAGTGAGATACCATAGCTCAGGTGGGAAGTTACCGTTAAAGCTAACGTCTGGGGCAATATTGCAGCATTAAGAAGGAAAAAAACACACATTTATACTGTAAACCGGCAGCTCCAACTTGCATTTGCTGCAGTCGCCCACAGGAAGATGTTGGGAATCCTGCAGCACGCGCTCTCGGGGCTAAAAAGCCGGCGATCAGGGCGCGCGCCGGGCCTCGAGTCATTCAATCCATGTTACATGTTTTTTCATTGTGGCTCGCTGTCGCCACATGGACTTAAAGATCATTTTCTGCCCCTGACGTGTCCGCGCTTTATTGAGAAAAGGAGGATGGGGGGGGGGACGTGTGTGTGCACCGGTTGCGCACATCATGTGTAGCATAAATCGACTTTTTTTAGTAGCCGTCTGAGTCTGACCATAACCCAAAAAACCGGGGACCGGGTCCGGTCCTAAAGCGGTTTGAGGGTTACCGCCTAACGCCACCGGCTGGACCGGGGGGGGGGGGCAGCCAGCTAGCTAGCTAGCTAGCATTAGCCTCCACAACAACACTGGCTGTGTGGCAACCAGAGGAAAAGGGAAAGCCTGCTGCTAGCTAACTAGCTAGCGAGCCAGCTAAGCTACAAGAGTTGGTAAGGGGTGCGTTCATTTTCATGCGCACGCGCCCCATCCCTCGCGCTTGTTATGTAATGCCCCGGCTTCAAAGCAGCCCGTTTGTGCCAACACGTTTGATAAGTTACCGCACAACGCCACACGAAAACAGACCCCCTAAAAGTCGTTCTTTAAACCCCCTTCTGCATGGACTACAGAAGGGGACAATCGCTAGTGACGTCATTGCGTGGGGTCAGATCTCTTTACAAAAATGATTTAGGATTAAATTATTTGTTTTCGACACCCGATTTGGTTTCTTTGTGTCCGTACGTGAAAATCGGCGAAATGCAATATTATAAAGTTTCATATAAATTTTGCAATGATTATATGGGGGTTACGGGGGGGTCCACACCGCCTCACGGCCGGTTCTTTCGAAGCGACGTGACGGAAATTATGGTTCATTTGTCATTTATATCGATAGGCGTTGCTCTGCTATAGTTTTTATTTTCAATTATCACTATTTCCTATGTCTTGCTTGAGTTTGTTATACTACCAGTTGTCCGTAAACGAAATCTAAAGAAAACATGTAACAGAGTCAGTCGCAGTCTGATTGTTCCCTGTCGTCAGTCGGAGCCCCCCTCGAGTCCCCCCATTACTTCCTCCTTCCCCCCTCCCTTTCATGGCCGCCATCTTAAGTTCCCACCTACCTGAAATTTCCGACCGATTTTCTTTTACTAAATTCTCGTTGAAGGAGTCGTCATCCGCGCAAAATCGTACTCAATCCGTGATGCCAGTGATCCAAACTGTCTCCCGGTACCCAACGAGGTACCACTAGGTCTGTGGGAAGAACTTAAAATACGGACCGGGAGAGACTGGGTTTCGGCGCAGAATGTAGCGGTCGCGGGGAGGAGACTTTACGCAGCGAAATGGTGGAGAACCGATGCTGACAAAGTACGGAGCGCGACCAAATCTCGCGAGATCACAACAAGCGCGCCTCTTGAAATGTGAATATTTCTAATAGCTCGCACGTTATTCGCCGCTATTTTTTAGTAAAGAAGCGAAGTTAACTTTTTAATTCTACTTGAGCTTTATTCTATATGAAGATATTATAATTTACCTGCATGTTTGGCATTTATGTTATAAAACGGAACGAGAGGTGTATGTAGATACACGAATGTGACAACTCCAAATAACAATCGTATTCATTTTGACCACAAAGGTTGATTGTTGCTTTTACACAAACATTCAAATTTGGGAGTGTTAACCAGTATGAAATGACTAATGTTGTCGCTCAATTTCTGGCATCATAGCTCAGCTTTTTTTATTTTTTTTATTCAAACCGCATTGTATCCAGTAATTTAGAAAATAACCTAAAATTTGTCTGTCAAGCTGTCAGTATGTAGACTGAAAATCTAATCTTAAAAAAAGCTTTTTAATAGTGTTATTAGCTTAATAAACAAATACACCTATCAGAAGGATTTACTTAATTTAGTTTTTACCTATAATAAAATGTTTCAAATTCATAAGAGAGTGAACAAAAAGACCCACACAACAGAGTAAACAACAATTCATTTAATAATTATTCTTTGTGGTCTCTAGGGGAGGGTTTGAAAGGTATAAAATGGTCATATTAAAATAATCGACCCAGTCTTGTCCCTCTCAGGATACCCACTGTCTGGTTGCCTTTTGACGCGTCCTTATATTTTTTTTCCCCCAGTTCTTCGGCAGACGTCCCGCTAATCCGTGTATATAACTTATTTGTGTTGATGAAACAACTCGACAGTTCAATGTACAAGGTTCCCACAGTCCCCGACAGACAGCACACAACCAGTGACACACGGGCAAACCTCTTTCTCAGCTTATAAAGTCGCAGGTCAGTTCCTTGAAGAGGCCAGAGGCTGCACACAGCTCCATGTTCACAAGCATTGAGAGTTTTCTGTGACGCTGAAGCCTTTTGCATTATTTCAGGCTTTTACAACCTGGGGGGCGGGAGGTAGGGGGGGGTTTGGGGGGGGAAAGAGTGCTGGTTGATACCCGAAACAATGACAAATAACATAACAGTGAATATATTTATTATTATAGAAGATAATTAATGTTACGAATAATAATTACAAAGGCAATTTCTCTAGACTACTATAATCTGGTCCTGCTCAAATAGTCGAGAGTAGACTGGGAAACAGTAACAGGAAGCTCTGAAACACTGCGTGCACTTGCACAGTGTGGCACAGTTCATCTCACCATTCATCCTTGGAAAACAGAAACGAGCCAAACAAAGTTGGACCTCGTGATCGGTGAAGTTTGAGGGTCTGGAGTTAAATTTTTGGGCAAAGCAGGAAACTGAGGTACGGTGCTAACTGGTCCTAAAGGGTCTCACTGCAGAGACGGGGGTCTGGGAGGGTGGGGGGGGGGCAGAAAAGAAAGCACCAGGTGAGCCGTGTATTTCTATAACCCTTGTCCTCGTGACCTGATTGGAGTGAAAAAAGAGCGCTGAGGGATCCCAAAAGTCAAGCGAGCTGTGGATGAGACCTGGACTCTTTGTCCCTCTGGAAGTCGTTTCCAGGCCACGATTCATAATTCACCTGAAAGATGAAGCTGCCGCCCCACAGAGGACGCACACAGAGACCGTGTACCTTTAAATTGCACTGATAAAACCACCGGGTTTTCTTCTTTTCTGAGTCTGGCCTCTTCCTCCTCCCCGCCTCCACTCTTCGACCCGGTTATTTCACCCTTTTTTCTCGTCTTTTTTGTGTAAAGTTTGTGTGAAGACTGGAGCTGGTTTGGTTGTGTAACTCAGACAGAAGGCAGGGCTAAGTCGTCTGCAGGGAGGGGGGGGTGGAGGGTGAGGTGGGGGTGGGGGGGGCAGGTTAAGAGCAGCACAGTGATCCTGACATTTCCCTTAATCTCCTCCAGTGTTGTCCCTGTACTATCTGGACTCCCCGTCTTTGTGGGCGCTGTACAGGGCCAGCTCGCCGGGGCCCCCCCCCAGCCTGGAGCCGCGGGGGGGGGTGGACGAGCGGCTGGTCATGGACGGGATGAGCGGCGGCGGCGCCCCCACGGACAGCGCCCCCACCAGGCCGGCCGTGGTCTTGGCCAGGAGGCCGTTGGGCAGGTGGTGCGGGTTGATGTGGCCCAGGCGGGAGTAGAGCCCGGCGTGGTGCTGGGGGCCCCCCCCCCCCGGAGGACAGGTGGTGGGGGAGCAGCCCCGGGTGCAGCTGCTCCAGGTGGGCGGCGGTGGCGGCGTGCGAGGGGCTGGACAGGTGGGCGCCGGGCGGCAGGTGGGGGTGCGGGTGGGGGTGGGGGTGCATCCCGAAGTAGCGCGCGCGCTCGAAGTCCTCCCTCAGGATCTGGGCGCGCTGCTCCTCGTCCATCAGCCCGCCGCCCGGGGGCCCCAGCCCCGCCGGGCGCTCGAAGTGGTGCGCCATCAGCCCGAAATCGGGCCGCACGCCGCCGGGCCCCGAGGTAGAGGTGGGCGGCTGCTGGGGGGCGGCCGCCGCCGCCGCCGCCGCCACGGCGGCCGCGCGCTCCGCCTCCATCAGCCGCTGCTGCTGGAGCAAACGCGCCAGGTGGGGGTCCGATCGGAGCGCCAGGTGGGGGTCCGAGCGAAGGGCCAGGGCCTCCCGCCGGTGCTGGTGCTGCTGGGCCGCCAGGTCCCTCCAGGGGTCCCAGGTGTAGCTGTGGGGGCCCTGTGGGGGGGGCGGGGGCTGGGGGGGGCCGTGGGAGAAGCGCTCCCCCCCGGGGCCCATCACCAGCCCCGGGGCCCCGGCGCTGGCCAGGTAGGCCTCGATGGCCCGGGACCGGTCCAGCAGGGACAGGTGGGGGGGGGCGCTGTGGGTGGGGGTCAGCGACAGGGAGGAGGGCGTCCCGGGGGGGGGGCCGGGGGGGTGGGGGTGGCTGCCGGGGGGCGGGGGGGCGGCGGCGAGGGGGTGGGGGGGGGGGGGGGGGGGCAGGCTGATGGGGATGTGCTCCGGCTCCTCCTTGCGCTCCTCCTTCACTTTGACGGGCGGCAGGAGCATGGGCGGCGGCTTGGAGACGGGCGTGGCCGTTCGGTCCGACTTCTTGGGCTGAGAAGAAGAGTGGGAGGAGTGGGAGGAATGGGAGTGGTCGCCGTGGAAACCGTGCGCCTGCGAGCGGGGGGGGTACAGGTCCAGGGGCGACTGGGCCGAGCGGTTGGAGGGCGGCGGCGTGGTGAGCACGGAGGATGAAGACGAGCGCGGACGTTCCCGTTCGGCCAGCAGGGCGGCGCCGGCGAGCGGCGCCCGGGAAGAAGAAGAAGAAGAAGATGGCGGCGGCGGACGCTGTTTCTCGCCGAAACCGCGCGTCAGATCGTCCATCGGCCCGCCGTGGCCGTTCAGGTGCGACACCGGCGTGCTGCTGCGCGGCCTGAAGGTGGGGCCCACCGGGGACATCCTCACAGGGGGGCGGCCATACAGCAGGCTGTCCCTGTGAGGCGTTCAGGGGCACACGGAAAACACAGGATCAGGGTCAGGATTATGTTATTATGAGGTTTATCAAATTTGAGTCTCCCTCCTTTGACCTTTTGTTGCTGAGGAAACTTGGCTGTAATAATATAATAATAACAACTACAATAACAGGATCAGATCAGGATTATATTATATTACAGTTTTATCAAATATATATATGTTTTATTACATTTCAGTCTCCCTCCTTTGACCTTTTTTGCTGAGGAAATTTGGCTGTAATAATACAATAATAACAATAGTAACCATTAAAATATTTATATGGTATATAATAATAAAATGTATTTATATTTTTATAAAACAAGTTTTCTTAGAATGAGAGTCTCCCTTCTTTGACCGTTTCTTGGTGAGGACATTTGGCTGTAATAATATAATAATAACAACAATAACAATGAAAATATTTATGCGATATATAATAATTTATATTTGAATTTTTATAAAACAAAGTTTTCTAAGAATGTGAGTCTCCCTTCTTTGACTTTTTCTTGCTGAAGAAATGTGTCCGTAATAATATAATATAATATAATATAATATAATATAATATAATATAATAATAACAACAATAAAAATGATAGCATATATCTTATATATAATAATATGTATTTATTTAAAAAAAGTTTTATTAAAATGTGAGTCTCCCTTCTTCGAGTTTTTTTGCTGAGGAAATGTGGCTGTAATAATATGATATAATAATAACAACCATAGCAATGTTAACACATATGTGATATATAATAATCATTTATATTTAGATTTTTAGAAAAATGTTTTCTAGAAATGTGAGTCTCCGTTCTTTAACTCTTTCTTGCTGAGGAAACTTGGTTGGTTGCAGTCAGAGCAAATCAGACTCAGAATCAGAAAAGCTTCACTGAAAAGTACGTTTTTGGACATACAAGGAATTTGTTTTGTTTAGTTTGTGCATGTACGATATGTCTCAATGTCTCAATATAATAACAGTATAAATGTAACTATACATGTATGAATATCTATACACAGTAAGTATAATTTACTGTGTTATCATAAAGTAAAACGAGGGAAAAACGGTACGATAAAGTGACCAGATTCTGGTCAAACTAAAGGATTATATGACGCACTAAAGGATCTATAGACGCACCTGTCCTTCTCGTCCTTGATGTGGGGCATGTCTCTCCTCTCTCCATCCTTCCCTCGGTCCCTCTCGTCCCTCTTGTCGGGTCCTTTAGCCCAGCTGGGGCCTCCGGGGAACCCGGAGGAGCCTCCATGCAGGCGGCTCCAGGCGTCGTGGTGGTGGTTGGAGGGCGGCATGCCTCCCACCACGCTGGACGGTGGCTCTTTGGGGCCAAACACAGAGCTGGCTGCAGGCGGGATATTCCACAGTTAGCACACAGAACACCTCAGCGGTCGGAGCAGAAGTCAGACAATTGGCCTGAAAGGCTTCAGGGAGGCATGCTTTACAAACTGCTTAGCTGTTAGCATCTAAAACAGGTCTACGTAGCAGGTTTAAGGCACATGTCTATCAAAACAGCTCTGTCCTCTCTAAACAAATCAAACCTGCAGCCCTAGAATTGGAACAGTTTAGCACTGGGTGCTGTCGTTAACTCCCCCAGCTCGGTCTAGTTGATCAAACACAACTAAACCATGGGACGGCTTCCCAACAGACCAGAATCGTGTTCCCGATTTGACAGAAATAAAAAAGCACGAGCCACGCCTTCAGCGCCGACTCGCGTTTGGACTCGGTCCAGCCTTCGGGGCTACTGGAATTAATGCATACAACCTTGCACCCGTAAATGAACGACAAACTCCAAACAAGTCTCTGTGACAGCGACAGCTGAGCTGTGGCTGTGCTACGAGACAGGAGAGAAAAACATTAAGAGGGAAGGAAAGCAGTTAACAAACACAGGCCTCGGAAAAGTTAAGACGGGATCCGGGATCATAAAAAAAGACCAGACTTTCTTATTTTGTCTTTATGTCGCGCTTGTTTCCCGGTTATGAGGCGTTTGGTGGAGTCTCATCCTCTGGATTATTCTGCTTCCAAACATACCATTTTTAGAGGATGAGACCAGCTGGACACTCGAAACTACACAATCTAACCGGCTAGCAAACAGAAATCCTCCAAATTGTGTTAGCTTCCAAATCAACGAGTGAAAACTTAAAGGAAAAAACAGTGGGTTTCTTTTTTCAATGTTCATAGAAACTGTGAAAATGTATTTTTCTATTTATTAGACGCGCATTCAAAGAGAAAAAAAAATTCAATTTCTTCAGCAATCCTTCAAATAACAAGCTTTGATGCACAAATAGTCAGAGCTCAGTTCCCCACACCGACTCCAGGGGAAGCCAATCAGCCACTCATTAGATAGGGAAGCTATGGTGAAGTCTCTTTAAAGAGGACGCCTTCAGTTCCTGTTTTCAAACGGCGATAAGCTGTAAAATCTGAGTAGACGACAGATAAAAGCTTGTTTTGTACCATTTTTTACATGCAAACTTAAATTTCCAATGCTTCATCGCATGATGGGATGTAGTTTTTATCGATTTTACAGATAATGAATCATCTGTAAAACCAATTTTTGGCTAAGTTACATGTTAGAAATCTGCGTTTAACCATCCAACTCCCACTTGGCGCAAAGTCCGAACCGTTTAAAACACAAAGGTCATCTTCACTTTGGCTAAAAACTCATTTTCAAAGTTAGCTTTCTTCCTTTGAATGAGGGGAACAAACGCCATGCCGCTTTAGCTCATAAGAGAGGCAGTTCCTCCATGACAGCACGGCTCAAAGGATCAGTTTGGATTCCTTAATTCTGCCTCTATGCAAAGCCCTCAATGCTGCATATCTGCTGAGTGACTGGCTGCTTTAGCTATTCCTCCCATCTCATGATGTCAGGAGCTTGGGTGGGACCAATTAGACCACGGTTCAACCTCTAAGGTCGCGTATCAACTCTTCCATTCATAACTGCAACATCGGTTGCCCCATAAAGTAAATATGGGCTAGAACAATCCCACATTTCTAATTTTAGCTGAAGTGAAACATGATCCTCGGCAGCCTGCGTCAGCCGGATGGATTCAAGTTTCCTCCAAATTTAGGGCAAACCTCCACCTGTGTTTTTCCTCATGTAGTCCTTCAGGCAGTTTCCAACTAGCTTCAAACTGAGGGTGGGAACAGGTACGGACGCCTCCAGACCCCCCACCCACCTCCGCATCCCCACCAACCCTAATTCTAACACCAACCCTAACCCAGCTCCAAATGAACCAACGTCCAATGGCTTCAGACTCTATTCCGGCAGATTTAAAAGCCACAACTGATCCTTTGAGCCTCGTTTCAATAGCAAAGACACAGCTGAACTGACCCAGCGTGGGGCTGCCCAGCCCTCCAAAGGCACCAGATCCCAGGGCTCCCAGCGGGTTGAAGGGCGGGGATCTGCCGTACGGATCTGGAACGGGACACAAACACCAGCCATGAAGCGAGACAGAGGAGTGACTGTGGGCAAGAGGGTCGGACCTACCTAAATGCGTGGGCGGTTGTAGGAAAGAGGAGTGAGGAGCTGATGGAGACATGAACGGCGCCGAGGACGGGTTGACGGCGCCTGAGGGAGGGGGGAGAAAAAAGGTAATGAGCGACCAACATCACACCTACTGCTGTCAAAGGAAATGACGATCAGTGGTTAGAAAATCGAGCAGAAGACAGATGTTTGAGCTCTAAATAAGCTGAATAATGACCATTTTAGGCTGGTCCCCGATTTTTGCAAAAAACTGCTCATCGGCAGACAGGAGAAAAGGCAGATCTAGACTCCAGATCCTTTTTTTTTTTCAAGTCCAAACCCACACGAGCATTAGCATCTCTTAACCCACAGGTCTGTGTCCTAACCATTAAGTTGTTATCAGAGTAAATTAACATGTAAGTTCAACATGAGTCTGACAACTAAGTAAGTAGATAAATAACTTTAAAGTTTAATACATGCTCTGATAGGACGGAATCGGATCAGAAGTTCAAATACAATATTGGTATCGGATTGGAAATGCAAAAAGCTGTATCGGGACATCCCTATACCACTTCACACTTTTTTTTTTCAGTAGTTAGAAAAACAAGCAAAAGACAGAAGTTTGAGCCCCAACTGAGCTGAATGATGAGCATTTCACACGTTCTAATAGTTTGTTCATGCACCTGTGGCTGAGAACAGGCTGGGAGGCCTGGTCAGGTCGTGAGCTGGAGGCAGGGCTCCTCCCATTGGCCCCAGTTGGCCCAGTCCGCCTCCTCCAGGAAAACGAGCCAGGAGTTCGCTGCGGAAGTCCAACTTGTGCGGGTCGGCCTGCATGAGCTGGGGAACGAACAGAAACGTTGGCCACACGCCGAATCGTCGCCTTTTTTTTCCTCAGAGAGACGCCTACCTTCACTTTTTTCTGATGACTCAGGATCATCCAGGCGACGTATACATGCATAGCGCACCATTTTCCTGGTTTCTGCAAAGCACAGGAATCAGATGGGTTTGCTTCGGTATTCCATCAATATTAAAATGCTGAGTTTTAGAGCCTTTGCACACAGAGTCAGACGCTCTTCCTGTGGCTCAGAAATATCTGGCCTGGCCCTTTAAGAAAGGCTGGGGTCGTGCAGCTGGTTACGTACACGGTTACTCGCTACTACCCAGAGTGGTTGTGGCGTTACACAGAAAGAGCAGAAAAAAAAGGGCACGAGCAGAAACACAGGAAAAGATCAACCACGCAAATGACACACAGAGCAAATTTCTGGGTCAGAAATATCTAACTGGGTGTGCAAGGGCAGAGGACAGACCAGTAGCAGTCGAGACTACGAGTGAAGATTAGTGCGAAGAGTGAGTGAAGCAGTGAGACAGTAATAACAGGCTGAAGGGCTTAAAAGAGCCAAGGGGATTCAAAACATCTGTTTTTGCTTACATTACTGATTTTCAACGATGTCCCAAATGGATCAGTTAGCTACGAGAGAACAGAATGAGCAGAGCCACTTTTAATGACACGTCTCGCTCTTTGGGAAGCCACAGTTCTGCTCGCGTTTCTGCGCCGGCCAGGCCCACGCGGCGATGCGTATTAGTGCCTTTGAAGCTCCGGGAGGGGGGGGCGGGGGGGGGGGGGGGGGGGGGGGGGGCACTTTGGGCTTACCCTGGGGTCTTTGGGCTGCAGGTGGTGAGGCACCACCCCGAGGCGCGCCGTCAGATCGGGACCGTTTCCCTGAGGGACAAAAGGCTGTCACACACAGCACAACACATGATTTTGTAGCATTTCTCCGTCACGGCCTGCACCCCCCACCCCCCCCCCCCCCCCGGGCCGCATGCCCCCCCCCCCCCCCACCCACTGGCCGAACGCCACCTCACCTTTGGCTGAAAGGCTCCCTGTAAAGAGCTGAAAGGCCCGTTGGGAGGAATCACAGGCTGGATGCTCGGCACTGAGGGTGGTGGGTACTGTGGGAAGAACTAAGGGGGGGGGGGGCCAGGGACAGACAGACAGGAAGTCAGGGACCGCTGTGGACCTTGAACGCATCACTCATCACCATGGAGATCGCAGGGGTTACTCACAGGGTGTCGGTACAGCCCGTCCATTTTGCCCGGGTACTTATCGAACTGAAAGGCAGAGGAGGCACGGAGAGGGTTAAACATCAATAACGGGCCGATAAGGGGCCAATAAAAGGAAAGTAAAGGGCCGGTAACAGGCCGATAACGGGCCGGTAACGGGCCAATAAAAGGCCGATAAAGGGCCGGTAAGGGGCCGACAAAAGAGCCAGTAAATCGCCGGTAAGGGGGCGATAAAGGGCCGATAATGGGCCGGTAAAGGGCCAGTAAAGAGCCGGTAACGGGCCGATAAAGGCCCAATAACAGGCATATAAAGGGCCGATAAAGGGACGGTAACAGGCAGATAATGGGCCGGTAAAGGGCCGATAAGGGGCCAGTAAAGGGCCGATAAAAGGCAGATAACGGGCCGATAAAAGGGCTGACAAAAGGGCCAGTCATTTGCCGGTAAGGGGCTGATAAAAGGCCGGTAACGGGCCGATAAAGGGCTGGTAAAGGGCCGGTAAGGGGCCGATAAAGGGCTGGTAAAGGGCCGGTAAGGGGGGCGATAAAAGGCCGATAAAAGGCCGGTAACGGGACGATCAAGGGCTGGTAACGGGCTGGTAAAAGGGCAGATAAAGGGCTGGTAAAGGGCCAAAAAAGGGCCGGTAAAGGGCCAAAAAAGGGCTGATAAAGGGACGGTAACGGGCCAAT